TCCCCTCCCTCCCCTCCCTCCCTTCCTTCCTCCCTCCCTCTCTCCCTCTCTCCCTCCCTCCCCCTCTCTCTCTCTCCCTCCCTCTCTCTCTCCCTCCCTCCCTCTCCCTCCCTCCCCCTCTCTCTCATCCCCCTCTCTCATCCCACCCTCCCCCCCTCTCTCTCTCTCTCTCTCTCTCTCTCTCTCTCTCTCTCTCATCTCTCCCTCTTCCCCTCTCTCACCCCCTCTCCCTCTCCCTCCCACCCCTTTCTCTCTCTCTCTCTCTCTCTCTGTACTTTTCTTCAAGGCTTTACTTATATCCTCTCTTTCTCTGCTCACGACTTTTTGTTCCTACTGCAATTCTTACCTTTATCCTCCCCCTCCCTAGCTTTCTCACCTCGCAGCTGGATCAGGTTTCTCGTGTAATAAACCGGTCTCAGAACAGGTTCAAGAAAGCTGTCGTATCGGAAGCCGAGGCGCCAGACATCCCTCTGTATAGACAGTCACATTTTTGTGTGTGCACGCTATTAAACCCCCTCACATGGTGGGATATAGTGAGTCGGCGAGATTCAACAACTTCAAAAATCAAGTTCCCGTTTTGCACTTCTATCGTTCCAAGCAGCTTTAAGAGAAACAACTAAAGAAGTGATACGATGTTTCTCTGTGGAGTCTGTTATACAGTTCCAATCAATATTAAGCGTGTTTCATAGAGTTCATAATCCTGGTAATTAGTGATAAAGCCTTAAAGTAGATATTCATTGATTTTAAAAACTAATTTTATTTTTATTATTGCAAAATTGAAACTTTGATTCGAAAAGGTTATCAAAATTCAATGCTTGGAAACATTCGAAGTAATGATTATTATAAATTACAAAACGCTTAAATACAGCCCCGGCATAGCACCTGAAGAGCTCTCCGAACGCTGCTGATATGTGTGAGATCACAGTATGGACATGACTTGCACAAGCAGACGAAGCCCTATGACATCTCACACATTTTCAGTGCCTGTGTTTTCATCTTCTCTTGAGTTCTTTCTCTTACTTCACTACCGTCAGGCTAAATGTATAATCTATTGCCTCACTCTAAACCCCGCGCATGGTTTTATTTTGATGACAAATGCAGCGATACAAAAATAAAAGAATTTGTCGCTTGTAAACAAAATAAGACGCCATTGTATATTCAGCTGCACACATCGGGGTATGTTCGGCGTTTCAAGAGGGAACAAATACCGTCCTTAATATAATTCCGGGGTTTTTTCAATTTGAAAGTCTGGTTTCTTTGATTGTTAATTAACCCCTAACCTGTGTATTTACAAGCAAAAGATTTTAGTTATCAGAATCGGGTCATATCCCCTTTTGAATGGTTTGACATGCCATTACATTTATATACACTAAACTCATTATAATTTGAGAAATAATAGCTTTGCAGTTATGTTCATTCTCTATGGGATGTCGTCTGCTTGGGCAGTGTTGGTCCATATAGTGACGTCATTAAAACATCGTTATTTTTCCGGCGAATCTCTCGTATATCCCAGCTGCTATGGAGGTGGTTGTATTTGTATTTTTATAAATCACCCGATATGTAGTTGACCTATAACTTGTACGATGGCCATCTGTTAGCTTACCAGTTTCTAGTGATACATTAGTTGACATATTTGTGATTTTCTTTGAATTTCACCTTTAAGCGCACTAGGCCTACATCATATTGTGCGAACACCGAACCCTCGCACAAGTTGGTTAGAAAGAGTCGGCGAGATTCAACTTCAAAATCATGTCACATCTGAACTCCAAAACACCTCCAAAAGAAACAATAATAGAAGAATTAGAAGAAATGACACTTTTCCATGTATAGATCTGCTACAAAACACCGGTTCCAATTCCATTCATAACGTGTTTCAAATAGCGCCTATTCCTTGGTAGTTATCAGAGAATGGTTATCCATTCAGTTACACAGCTTTTTACAACATGCTCGACAAGTCTCCGGGCTACTGAAATAAATAAAGTAGATCACATCGAGAGAACAGTACTATTGAGCTAGTGTTTGAATGAATATAAGGATCCATTCCCCGTAGCAAAAAAAAAAGATGGGACATGAAGAGTTTCCTGAACTTTTCCACAAAATGCAGCATGGTGGCCATGCGTGACATTCCATCGTTCCACAACTTATTAGAGGCAACCGGCACAGTCATGGTCGAGGGGAAAGGCAGAAGGATGGAAGAATTTGTTCTTCAACTTGCAATGATAAAGAAAAATTCGTAAATGCATTCACTGTGTGTGTATTTTAGAATAACCCACTCCCAAAGAAATGGAAATGCTTTATGAATAGCTTTCGTTTCCCCCCTTTGAGGAGAATACTGTCTTGTGTAATATATTATTATGGAATGCACTTTGGTGCATAACATGAATAACGATCATCTCATTCTCTTGATCAAATACCCAGTATTTCATCGTATTGTATTTCACAATAACTACTTTCTTAAGCATTCCCTCAATGAATAATTCAATTCACCTGGGCAGAGTTTCACGAAACCATCATAAGAAACAAGTTCACCAACAACCTATTGAAAGGCGTGTATAAATATTATTATGTGTTGCAATGGACCGTCGGTGAACTTGTACTTACGACGGTTTTGTGAAACGCTGCCCAGGAAGGTTTTGCGATTCAATAGTTGCTGCTATATCGGACCAAGGAGCTTTAAGAGATGGAGTCATATCTAGCTCATTCCCTTTGTACCATCTTCGAAGCCGCTAGGAGAAAATATGTCAGGCATGTGCAGATCTTTCTTGCAGATACGTAGACAAAAGGTTCCTGTCTAGCTGCGAACTAACGGGCCACTTTCAAAGGGAAATATGCATTTGTAATGATAATTACTTTTCGCTACCACTCGTCTGATAATACGAGCAGTACACAGTGCTTACAGGAGGCAAGCTAAAGGAAATCGAGGAAAATTTCCTGAAATATTAATCAAAATGTGTGGGCACTAATCAGACATCATAAAGAACTGTACATGAACATATTCTTTTTATTTTCGTGAGCCGGAAATAATCGGAAAATGTCAAATTGCAGGTTTTAGGATTGTAACATTTTACTATTTTGTTGTATAAGTTAAAACTGCTATCATTATACAATGTAAGCAAACTTCTTGACACGATTAGGCTTCTGTATTCACATTTTATCATCTGTTCGATTTTCCCTTGTTAGTTCAAATAAAAAGTGAAATTATATTAACGATATTTCTTTGTGAACAAAATCACTACTCAAGCTTTCCAATGATATTGACGGCTTGATCGAACCTCGGACATCAAAGGTAACAGCACACCTGTAAATTCTATTGTGCAACCTTAGAAAACGACAGCTGCTTGGTCGGACAAACCTTGGGAAAGCCTTGAAGCATATTAGGGCATGAAACTTCCTTTCCTAAAACTCAACTGATATGCTTTCGTTTTTATTCTGTCACTGAAAATGTGGTAGATCTATTGTTCAATTGACAATTGCCTTTGATCACCCAGGTGTATAGCTATTTATAAATATCGTTACGGGATTAGTGGGACCGGGTCTTTAACCTACCCTAGGAATTGTTGTCAAAACAGAGGAAATAAGCGGTCGAAATAATTTGCACTATCATCTTACGCATTGCAATGGATTACGACACTCTCCCCCAATCGAAACCAACCAATTAAGTAAAGCAATGACCTGGTGTCCAGATGTTACAAATATGTTTGTGGTAGGATATATCTCGATCTGGCAAACCTTACACATTTTCATTGCAAATGTCAATAGAAAAGAGGATGACGTTAATTCAAGCACGTGGGACTCGTTTGAGAAATTGTGAAAAATCCCTGTTAGTCGATGACGTGTAAAATTTCTTGAATATCAATAGGAGGTTAGAAGTGGAATATAAAGTACCGACGTGCTGACGTCATATTCGCTCGTTGTCCAGGTTACTGGTTCCAAACAACAGAGCCTGCGCATGAGGTTCACCGCGAAATCATTCAAGCAATGGGCTGCATGGAACAGGGCAAATTTAGGGTTTTTGCGCTAATGTAGCAAAATTGTTTGGAACCAGGCAGCAACCTTGTTAACTTGGCCAGTATGACGTCACACTTCGGTACTCTATATATTAGGTTGTTAATGAAATACAGCTGCTTGAAAAGGAACGGGTGTGCTTAAGTGTTTACCCGTTTGTATGTCATTCTGTTGTTGTTGTATATTTGCATCGTACATTTTTCCTTGAAGAAGACGATCGCACAAAGACTGTCGAAGGCACTTTTAGCACCTATTGCTTATGGAAGCCATGATTGAAATATATAACACGTTATTGTAACGTTCGTACATTACAGTAGATAATGCACAGGGCTATTGAAATTGGTCTTCATAGGTCGATTTGTTAGTCTTAGCGGTAATGTTTAAGAGTTTCTTCTTCATTTATAACATGGCTTGATATTTCAATCAATTTATTCTTCCTTTGTATATGCTCCATCACAAGAGTCATCCATGTTTCAGACTTTAATTTTATCATAATTCATAGGCACCTAAAACTTATAATTATTTATTCATTTATTGTTATCGTGACCGTCATCCTCATTACATCATCATCATCGTCATCATCATTACCATCATTACAACCGTCATCATCACCACCGACATCTTCATCATACACATCATCATTATCATGAATATCATCACCATAACCATCATCACCATCATCACCATTTTTTATTTGTATTGGTGAAAACAATTATGAGTATCCTCTGCGTAAGTATCTAAAACACAATGGTAAAGACTTTCGAAAAATCAACTCAACGGAAATTTCATAATTCCGGTATATATTATATATCCCAAATAAATATTTGTTTGAATATGTAATGCGTCACTGCAGTTTTCGTGCATTTTAACAGGTGATAGGCAATACTATTCGATAGCCCTGGGGTGATTTTTCGTATGTCTTTGCGAGCGTATTCAAATCTTGGAGCGATAACGCATATAAATGGGTAATGAAAAAAAAAATAAGACTATATTAATTCGGTTTGTTTGAAGAACAATTTATTATCCGATTCCAAATATGAAACCGGTGAGCTATTTATATATATTTACACAAGTGTACAAAAAGCCATTTACAGATACAGCACTCATCGCTGTGAAATATATTCATTATTTTACAAACAATAAAATTATGCATAGTTTGATTTTACCAGGTCTACACACCTAGTAGATTTAGGACAGCATAAAGCTTTACAAACAAACATTAAAGTACATTTATTTTTAATTTCTTAAAAGCACAAATAAATAAGTCGCATTTGAACACATTTGAAAACAGATGCCTGCGTTATAACACTGGCTTAAAAGCCTTTGTGTGTATTAGCATTTCTAAAGGTATGTCACCATTCAGTATAAAATCCCTCTTTGTTCCATCCTAAATAAAAATTTAGGTAATTAAAAACCAAACTTCTGAAATTGTCCTGTAAAGATTTCTGGTTAACATTTCATGAACTGGAATGTGATTTACAAAATAAGGAGAAGGCATGTTCAAATTACAAATTGCTTATTCATATGGAACTATTAGAATTTATGCAAAACATTGATACCATCACCATATTTTACTGCACTTAAGATGCTCTTGCATCTAGAAATCAAAGCTTTAGCCTCGAATCTCATGCACGAATCGCAATAGTCACTGACATTATAAATACTATGTGAAGTCCATTTACGACTTTTCAGTCGAGCCACAAGGTCAGCTTAAATCGATGTAAATTCTGCTATCAGCACTGTGCTTCCTAGGGTACTGATATTGGTCCTGTTTTGGTCCCGGCCATAAAGCCGAATAGTTCGGGTCATGCACCACCATGTCCGCGTTTTGATAAATATGTGTTTTCCTTCCCGCTGCCTTGTTCTTCAAAGCTGCTAAAGGTCCGGGTAGTTTTACTGTCGACTTCGACACCGCAGAGTTTTTCGACGCTGGTGATCGAGCCACCGTAGGGGGCGCCTCATCTTTGTGACCCTCGGCTTTGGATGACCCCTTTAGAGCATGAGGCGAACGAGGAACCTGGGGAGCTTTCGCACTTACGGCGGCCAGTCTTATCTGACGTATTCTGATACTGTCCGGATCGGCAGCACTGTTATCTGTTATCACGTACCTCGCACTATCGTAGCTACTAGCTGTACTGAGTGTGTCTTCGCTGTCACTAAAGTAGCTTGACGCGCCGCGACTTTCATCCACGCGCTCGTAGCTACGGTGACGTCGAGCATGGGATATCTGCGCAGGACGAGGTGGTTTCGACGACAGTCGCCGCCTTCCTGATAAGGTGAGAATTGCCTTGCGTCTTCCAGACAGGAGAACCCGAGGAAGCCATCTCCTGTACCACAAGAAGAAAATGATGGCTATCAATGACACTGTAAAGAGGAATGTCAGCAAGACGGCAGCGACAATGTCCCCAGAACCCATTGTATGGGAACACTGCGGAGTTCTGGAGTCTGGTGACCCATCGGACGGCTTGTCCACATCACCGCCGATAATGATCGTTGGGTTCAGCTGCGTGCTGGTGTGATTGAAGTATGGATATTGGTGTGGTTGACGGCCACCAGTGTGGTGAACCCCAGGCCAAGTTTGTCCATTTATGGTTGAGTCTGGAATAGTTGTGGAGACATACGGGTCTCCATTTGTTGGGATCTCTTGGGTATTGGTAGTAATATGCGGTGACATTGGATTGTGCGTCGAGGGTTTCCTGGGAGGATTTATCTTCGAGATTGTTGAGTTGGTGACCGGTGTTTGAGGAGGTAGTTGAGGAGCAGGTTGCACCACTAAACGGACAGCACCTTGCACCTGTCCTGCAGGATTACCCATGATACAGGAGTACTGACCTTGATCAGCCTGCGTGGCGTAAGCTATCAACATCATCCCATCGTCGGTTACCCTCATCCTTCGGTTCAGACGCTGAGCACCAGCCGTTCTCAACCGCAAACCGTTCGGCGCTACCCAGGTAACTTTCGGAGCAGGGAATCCCGAACTGGCACAAGCGAGGGTCACGTTCCCGCCATACTGCGTCGAGATCATTCGCGTAAATGGACGCAACACTGGAGCATGGCACTGAAGATCAGAAGTCTGGATGGCCGTTAAACGAGTACCACGCAACTGACGTGGCTCTATTGCGTTACATGTAGGAATTTCGTTGGGGTGGTACGGAGTTGGATGAGCAGGGGAGAGGAAATACTGACGTAATCGCTGGACCCGACAGTCGCATTGAATAGGGTTCCCAACCAGTAAAATTCGCTTCAGCATTGGCATGGACTGCATTGTCTGTGGTGCGAAGGTATCCAGTCGGTTCGAACGGAGATTGAGTGTGTTTAACATACGAAGGTTGGGCATGGGTGGAAATGCTGTTATCTGGTTGCCTTCAAGGTTTAAATTGATCAGTTTCGTCATGGATGCAAAATGTTGTGTAGTCAGTCTTCTCAATTGGTTATTCTGCAGTTGAAGACGTTCAACGTTGTATAACGGATGGAAGATATCAATGGCTAAATCTGATATTACATTAAATGAAATATCCAGTTCTGACAGTACACCGAGTCCTCTAAAAGCTCCTGGTTCTATGACTGATATCATGTTATTGTTCAAGATAATGTCCCTCACGCTTCCAAGACTTGAGAAGGAATTGTTTCTGATCGACTTGATATGCGTGTCAGTAATATCAAGGTCCGTGAGCCGCATCAGACCATGCATGCTAGGAATATTGGTAAACCTGTTTCCATCTAAGTCAAGCTCAATCAGGTTCGACAAACCATCAAGGAATGGCATATTGGGGTCCGTGGTCAGTTGATTTTCCTGCAGGTAAAGACGTCTCAGAGACAGCATTCGCGAAAAGAGACCCTGGGGCAGTATCGACAGTCGATTTCCGGCTATATTTAGTTCCATTATATTCGTCAGATCGCGAAACGTCCCAGCAGCCACAGCATTGATGGCATTACCCTGAAGATGTAGCGTTTGCACTGCTCGCAACCCACGAAACGTGTTCGCGGTCAACTGCGTAATGCGGTTGTTCGCCAAGTTCAGCGTCGAGACTCCTCCAAGGCCGTTGAAGGCATTGTCCTCTATGCTATATATGGCGTTGTTGGACATGTCTAGTTGCCTTAGCATTCTGGAACTGGCGAAACTCTGCCTGGGCACCATCTGCAGCGAGTTCTGTCCCAGCATGAAGACCACAGACCCAGGATAGTTTTGGGGTATGCATGTCAGTTGTCGACTCTCGCAGTCTGTCTTTCCAGTTTCTCTGGTGAAGACACAAGCTGCTGTGCAGGGTCTTTGTGCGTCGACTGTTCCCCATGTCATGACCAGGAAAATCGCGCCAAGAAGAACACCTCTGCTTCTATATGCCGCCATCTGGTGAGGGATCTGTTGCAGGAAGAAATAAACAAAGGGGAGATGTTAATATTGAGTATACCAGACGCTACAAAATTACGAGATTCTTGTAACCTCAGCTTCCGACCCTCTTTGCAAGACTGCGATCGAGATTCTGGCATTTTTCCGCCAGCTGAAAAATCTCCAATGAGTTATTTCCTATACTTGTCTTATCACGGCACTATGACTGTGGTAGTTCTGTGAGCAAGCCTGTATGTGAGTCAGTTTAGTAAATAGTCTAGGATGTTAGGTGGTATATGAGAAAGTCAAGTTTGAACACCCTTTGACTGATCAACGGAGTTATGCCTGTAAAAAAAAAGGTACATTATTTCATTATATGAATTTCTTAGAGAACAAACTGAAAGATTTTATTTTAGTCGTTGAAAACATTTGTTTAAAGATATAAAATATGAGTAGGATGCAATTAATACAACCCCTTTTCCTTTCTTTATGTGGTCAAACTACTAAAAGAACTGTTCTGAAATACCATTGCTCTCTCTCTCTCTCTAACTTCTGTTTCTCTTTCTACCCCGTATTTTCGCTATCTCTTTAACCTCATCTTTTTCCCTCAGTCATATTCTATTTAGAATGCCAGCTCTTCAATTTACCCTAACATAATTCTTGATTCTATCTTTTTCAAACTTCCAGGTAAAACAAACTGGTTTACATAGAAGCAGAGATTTACTTCAGGCTACTGTCATATTTTCCAAGCTGTTCGAAAGTTTTTTTTTCTAAAAATAATCCGATAGTGTATTTTTCGGACATTTTTACGACTCAAACATGTATCGAATTTCCCTAGAGAGATCTGGGACTGGCAAGATATGAGGTGAATTTCATGTTCTCTCGATTTTGCGATGAGTAGTTCGACTGTAAAGTCACGAACATGCAGTTGACATTAATCAAATCATGGATTTAATGAAACCCTATTTCACGTGTCACCGATGTGCAAAACAGTTTTTAGGTTAAACATGAATTGAATGAGAGTTTTCTTGCTCTGTATTTCTGATCCTATATCAGTCTAAAGAAACAAGAAAGAAACTCTTTAGAACTCCTCCTTTTCTCTCTTCTTTCTATATATCAATCATATCGAACCCTTTCCTTGATTTGTTATTTCTTCATGTACATTATCCTAATTTATATAAAAGTACATTTTTTTGGTTATAGTCTACTACTACTACTACTACAAAATGATTACAAGAAGTAAAAATGCCGTTTCCGGAAGTTTGGTTTTTACATCAACAAAGACATATTTGCTTCGAAATAACATGGCATCTTAGCAGAGTGGCAAAGATTTCATCATTTCCAACAAATCTTTACACATTTTAGTATAATACCAATTTACGCATATCATATGAAAACAAGTATATCCACGATTTTCCTCTTTCACATATCAATTCTTAGAGATCGAAGGGAGAATCTCTCCGAAAACTCTTTTAAATCGTGTTTAACTATTCGTATGCCAGTCGATAAGATTTTTAGGCGATTCAGGTTAAACATTTCCAGCAATGAAAGGGTATGGGCTAGTAATCGAATCACACTACTAGTTTTTTTTAAGGGGCTAACCAAGAACTGGCAATGATAATTTCGCGCGTTAATGAAAAAGACTTTGACCTTATCTATGCCTGAGTGAGAATCTCTTCAAACTAGTTCACTATCAAGCGTGGGTGACAATTTTCCAAAGAAAACAGATCATTCTTCATACTTAGTCCGGCAGGCATTTCCAATTTCAGCAAAATGTCGTTATCTACAAACATGGGTTTTCTATTAAATGAAAAACGTGTGGAGATCATTTAGAAAGCTGCAAATGACGCGAGACAGCACTCTACAAACGGAAAGCGTTCATTGAGCAAAGCAACTCTGAAACATAACGCAGAAGACAGGTGCTATCGTTTCCATGGCAACACAAATATGATTGGACGCCATGGGAAGGCGGGAAACTGAAAGTTTGAGTTGAACGGTTTTGATTAAGCCTCGGGGCCGTGATGATGATGATGATGGTCTGACATGCTAACCCAAATGCTCATTTCATCACCCAGAGTTGGAGCTAATCTATGAGATATCAGGAGGTCAGTTTTAAACGCGATTGACAGGCCTCCCTGTATGTGGGTATCTCTGAATAAGGTCGCACAGGTCATTTGTGTTGGTTTGATAGTTTTTCTCTGTTTTTTAACATTTTCTTTTTTTACACGAGAGTGTATGCTTGTAAGCAAGCAACCAGGGGACTGGCAGGGCTTACCAAAGGACACTACCGCATCGACACGGCTTCGAACCCGGGACCTCCAGGTTACAAGCCCACTGCTCTACCACAGAGCCATCGCGCTTCAAGAGTTCTTCTTTCTTTAAGCATACTGTTCTTTGCAACCGATATGGCGGAACTGCAGATTACCCCATACCATTGTATCACGGTTAGGGTTATGATTAGGGTTATGATTGGGATTAGGGATTAGGATCAGGGTTACGCAGCGGCGTAGTGCAAGTCCACCTATTAAGAAGGGGCAATGGAGAGATGGGGGGGGGGGCACCAGTATAACTTGGAAAACTAAATGCGAATTTACAAGGCTACTGTTATAGGGGTCGCGGAAGGGCATTTGAACAAATAGGATTTAAGGAAGTTGCCATAGATCAAACCAGATTAACTACTCATTCGAAATTATCTAAACACGTTTCCAAGCAAGTTCTCCTAATCGGTAGCCTTCAATTAATTATCATCGAGAGATGAACGTGACATTAATTGATTACGTAACAGAAGGATGTCCTATTTTACACCCGCGCAGCAAGATACGGAGGAAGACTGAAATTAGAACGTCTAAAGTAATAAACACCGACCCCCCGAAAACTTTCCCCGACCTTAACTGGAAGATAAATTCACTGATCTGCCTACTTCGTGCTACTTCGTTAATTGAGGCCTATTAAAGTTTGTATGGTAGACGGATAAGATTAGTGCATGACGGTACAATAAATACAACCAGGCAATACAATAATATATATATATATATATATATATATATATATATATATAGCTGCTACCGATTACAACATGGTCGACGACAGGGTTGAGGTGTGGACAAATGGGAAGTTATGAAATTTTCTCATTCTTTTTTATTCCTGTGTGGGATAAGATCATAGGCGCAGTGTCACATAATAAAGCATTGCTCTTTGAAGGCTCAATATTCCAAATACAACTGGAAGTCTTTTAAAACTCGTGACCAAATAAATTCCCACTGATGTGTGTAGTCCAATATTTTAATCTAATTTAGCTTTGGTCAATTATTATGCAATGACGCTGCAGTGAGAAACTAAGAAAGGGGTGTTCCTTATTCCTTACGAACTCCCTTGGAAGCAGCAAAGGGGATTTCCCCAGACATTTGCCCAACATCCGTTTTGAAATATCTCAGGAAACACATTATTTGAGCACCCAAACCCTTCTTTGCTCAAGTGTAAGACACAGAAGCAATGTTATACCATTGTGTTAGTCTTATGCATAGCGAACAGGTCACTCTACAAATTCTCTGAAACGGTAGTATTCTTATTTCGCGTAAATAACATACTACCTTCTTACATCAAACTGTACAAATCATAGCTGCCATCTTGTCCTATTGTTGTAAGAACACAAGACCTTTTTGCAACTCACTGTTGAACCGCCGTTTTTTTGTTTTTGTTTTTTTGTTTTAAGGGGTAAAGGACATACGACATTCTAGCAGCCAACCGTATAGATCACAGTAGCCACCCTATGCGCTTTACATAGTAAGAGTATGCGATCTTTTCGCAGTTCGCTATACAGTCTTATCCTTCTTACGCGTATAGATACGCCCTTCTTACAGCCCACTGTACAGATCCTTGTAACAGTCCTACGCCTCTTATACGAAAAGAACAAACGACCTTTTTGCAACTCACTGTCAAATCGTCGTATTCATATTCACGCGTCATGAACATAGATAGTATTTCGTTGTTGTTTTTTGCAGTTCACTGTACATAGGCCTATAATGTTAAACAATCGTACGCTTTTATAACTTATGAACATATGACCTTCTTGCAGCATCCTATCAAAATCATGTTAATTATGTTTTACCGGTTAATTGCAGGTACACGCTTGGGGGGATCTCGGATGATTAGTGTACCGCAACTGATACCACCGAACGAATTTAATGGATTAACGAACGACAGGTAGATCCAACAGGGGTAAAAGGATGTTACTCTATTACCCCTCGATCACCCCAGGGGTGCAGTTATACCCCCTTCCTCTAGTCTGGTTAAATTCGAAGACAAGAAGAAGGGGTTTTAAAGCTTTCTACAAGCAGAACGATATGTCAATGCGGCCTTTGAGAGATATGGGGACAAACATGAGAAGTTATTGTTGTCTATGAAGCTTTTTATGCTATGATATTCTTCTTAAACAGGCATAGGATAAGACACACTTTGAGAAAAGTCCGATATCTTTGAGTTCTAGCGCAGTAGAATATACATTTCATGTTGGATAGTTTTTGCGCTCTATAAATGTGTTATTATTATTATCATTAGTTCTCATTATACTGGAATTGAGGGGGAAATGCTTCGAGTGGCTACATAATTATCTTGCTATCAGATTATTTTGGGAAGATGGAATACTTACATTCATTCAAAATTAGAAATGGAGATAATTTAAAAAAAACGGTTAAAAATCTCAACTTAAGGGTACTAGGAGTCACGCACACACGTCACATTATTTGTTGTAAAGAAAAGAATATTAAAGAACAAGACGTGTTTTAAACGAGAACTTCCCTGTTCTGCTGGAAATAATTCATCGTAATATTACTCATTAGGAATGAATTGATATCCTTGAGAACACAAAGTGCTAATTTTCACAACCAATTCGACACTGGCCTTGCTTCCTAACCAGTATAATAGGAAGTCCTTTTAATTACTCGTTTTTTAATGACTGCTAATTGCCAAAAGGAATATAGGAAATACGGTGTTACTCGGTACTAACAACAACGAGATCGTCCAGGTACTCCGGG